AGAGTTGCCGTGACCTCTTCAAGGGATTGAAGTTGTGTTGTTAAGAGTAAATCTACGGGACAGAACGTGCGACTGTGGGTTTTTTCAAGCTCTGAAGTATCCATGCTCTCATGTGATAATAGCTTGCTCGCATACGTGTCAAGACTATAACCGTTTTGTGGATCCCATATACCTACTATCTGAAGTTTATAAGGTATACAAATTTGAGTTCCCCCATAGTAATGACAAAGACCCTGATGAAGTTCAGGATTGGCTTCCGATTGTACCAAATCCGAGTTTATTGAGGGAGCGTGGTCGTCCAAAATCCAATCGAATTCATTACGATATGGATATTCGAGAAAGATCTAGACAAGACAGAAGATGTGGGCATTGTAGAAACCCATGACACACTAGAAAAACATGTCCACTTCTGTTATCATCAAGTAACAATTGATGAGGACATGATGTAGTTGTTTATCAAATAATTATTATTGTACTTTAATTTGCATTTACTTAAAGTTAATGTCATTCGATAACCGCTGATGAGCAGTAAAAAAACGATACAAGAAAACGAGATTGAACGTTGGCGTTATATGTGATTATAATAAAAAGATATAATAAGTGACAAATTGAAGAAAGTTTGAGAACACAATTATTAAATTTTATAAAACTAATAACAATTTGGTATTTGAACATAATTTTAAATACAACAAACTTACAAAAAGTATTAAATGGTAAATGATAGCCAAATAACAATAACTGATATTAAAAGGTAATAAACAAAATTAACCAAAATACATTAACAAAATTGTATAACAAATTTAACAAAATAAATTAAAATAAATCCAACCACATTAACAAAAAAAAGTAAGTATTAAATGATAAAAATTAAAAAATTACAATAAAAAAGTCCAATAAACAACTAAATACAAAAAAAAATCTATCGATGCCTTCGTCGCGAATGTGTTCCACAGGGCGGTGGCTGTCGGTCTTGAGGAGGATTTCTTCATATCAGTGGTTGTGACTCCTCGCTGTCATCATCATCACCATCATCGTCGTCATCTTCGTCATCGTGACCAGCTACATTAGGTTGATGAGGAGCAGCTGATGACGATGAAGCACCTCCATAGAATAAGGACACTGGAGGTGTATGGCTGACTATCTCACCGGCCTGCGAAAACTGGAAAAACTCATAAAACCCAGACATTGCTGAGTGTGAAAACTATACAGGAGGTGTCTGTGCTGCGACCATGGGTGATGAGGTTGAACCCGCCAAAATGTGGGCATATGAACCCCAAGTCAGATCTGCAAACATATACCTATAATATCCTCCAGGAGGGGTCATAAAACTCTATGACGGTGGTGGCGGCGTGGTCATAAAACTAGGTGATAGTGGTGACGGTAGCATCGAGTATGGGAACGGTGATAGCGGCATCACATATGGTTGCGGAAGGTAAGTCGCTGTAGATGGTGGCTGCTGTAAAGGTCCTGCTGGTGCAGCTGAGGATGAACCGGAAGCACCTGCTCTCCGTCCACGAGTCGGGGATGGTGGTACTGTGTTGGTGAATGACTTTGTCGACGTCGCTAAAAGGTCTGCCCTCGTGCATCCTCGGAAAGCATAAATTTCCCGTTAATGTTGAACCACTCGTAATAACCGTCAGCAACCATCAAGAAGTCAATAAAAATGGGCTCTCTACGGGGAAGGCGCCGATGCCGATCCTCCCACAGCACGACCCACTCGTGATGCCTCACTAGTCAATCTGTATCGCTCTTGTCGCGTCTATCTGTGCTATGCAACTCGACGATCATAACAATCAAAGACCATCGCCATCCAAACATCTAATGGGCCCCTTAACTCAAGTGGGATCACCATCCTCACATCATCATTAGAATATGAAACCATTCAAACTAAAACAAATATATATAATTTTTATCAAAATAATAATCTAATTATACAACTATAATCTAAAATAGATTTTTTAAACATTAAAAGACATACATGTGTGCCAACCTTCTGATCGATTAACACCCTAATTTTTTCTAAATCATCAGGTAGCTCCTGATGATTTTTCCTATCAGTAACCACCTATTCAAGGAAAATAAAATTTATTATACACTATATAAAATGATTAATATACGAAATCAATTTTATAATTACCTCAAGAGTAGCGGAAATACGAATGAGTTCTTGACAACGAGACATAAAAAGGGTAATCGATACCATGCCCAAGACTACAGTAGCAAGAGATATCCGCCGATAGCATTTTTCTTGTAGTCAGTGGCTCGACACATCTCCCTGTACAGAAAAGCCAAAACTGTCGAGCCCCAACTGAGTGATCCGGCCAGATGAAAGTCGCCAAGATGTCGCAACCACATACAGTGAACTTGGTTGCGCGATTTGTCCGACATCAGCAACCCTCCTATCAGCTGCAGTATGCATGCCCGTGCATACATTTTAACTTCATCATCAGAGGCGTCCTCGCTCAACTCCCGAAAATTGGCATCTAACCAATTTAACGGTATCCGACCACCGTTAAAACTTTCCGGGACACGTCCTAGATAGTCCCGGCACAAAGCAGTCCATGAACAGTGCGCCATCCCCGATATCACATCTCCATCCACCGGAAGCCCCAGGTGCATAGAAACATCCTCAAGTGTAATCGTGCACTCTCCGCACGGAAGATGGAATGTGTGGGTCTCCGGCCTCCACCGCTCCACTAAGGCAGCAATAAGGTTTGGTTTTATCTTACAGTGACCCTCATATCTACCTATGTGACCGAATCCAGCCTCTACTAAATACGGCATGACACGGCCAGATGTCACTAACTTAAGATTCCTAATAAAATGATCTAATATACGGTCTCTCTCCTAAAATATAAATAATTACAAAAATTAATTTTTAAACTAATAATCATGCATTAAATAAATAAATAAATTATTATTTAATAATTTAAATTAAATTAAAACGTTAAAATGTTACCGTATCAGCAAAATGTCGAGATATATGATTTCCATCCAAGCGAAGCAGATCGCCTTTCCATTTTATATATGTAAAAAATTAATTAAATACAATATTAAATAATTTAAATACTTAAATAAATTAAATATTAAATATAATAAAATATACCTTAAACAGAGAATATAAAAATATTTAAGAGAGGTTTAGAGAAGTTGAGGGAAGTTGAGAGGATTTGGTATGATGAAAGTGATTGAGGATGGGGTATTTATAGGGAAGGATGGGTGTGAACGTCGGGGTAGGTAGGTAATTAAACCTATGGCGCGTCGCAGGGGCGCGTCTTTCTAATGCGTGTCGGATTTGTAGGTAAGGCGCGGCGCTTGCACCGCGCTTTACACACGTGTATCCATCCAGTCAGCATAAGACACTTTTCAGGGGGTGCACCTTACCCCACGTGATGCCAGATCAACGTAAAACGCAATGCAGGGGTGCTTACTGCAATGGGTGTTAGATCGAAAAAATAGTCTAAAGGTGCCTGACAGGGAAAAATAAATGTAAAGGTGATATATCGGGAAAAACGCCCCCTAACTATTTAGTCAAAACTAACTATTTTTATAGTTATTATTTAGTTATCTAACTATTTTTTTTCAATCACTAAACTTATATTTTTATTCTATTTTGATCACCCAACATTAAAAATAACCAAAATTACTAACTTGAATATTTTTTTATTTTTCAATGATGGCATGATATTATTTTAGGATGACATGCCAATATTACTGCTAATTTTTTAATATTAGCCTACAAAACGGACCAAAAAGAAACTGTGACAATAGTTGGATGACTAATATGTAGTTTACGCAAATAATTAAAGGCGTAAACATTCGACTTAACCCAATATTTTTGTCCTTTCATACCAACACATTTTGCACATTAAAATACAAAGGCATAAAAGTCTGACCTTTCAACTAAAATCAGAAGCTTCTGTAAAAGATTTCTCAGATTGACGATGTTCAGAATTCCCGGGCTTTAAGCAATCCAAAGATTAGATCAAAATAACACCTTATGGTAGCTGACATGTTCTTTTCCCCCTTTTGTTTCTTGTTTGTTTTTTTTTTTCTTTTCATCAACTTAAATCCCACTTAATTAGGTCAGATTTCAATCCATTTTGATCCTAATGTTCATGAAAATTCTTCAACTGCATCATGTGTATGGGGGTTATGTTTTTTTTTCTAATAGGTGAAAAGTCTATTTTTTGAATCGAAGTTTTCAAAGTTGAAATCAGAGCTCCAATGGACTTCTGATACTCTGTTTTTTTTTTTTTGCTTCAGCTTGAAAAAAAAAAGAAAGGGATTGATGGTTTATATTGATGGGCACCCTGTACAAATTCCTGATCAATACCCATTTTGTTTCAAGAATATGACTTGTTTTAACGTGTTTTCCTTTCGAAATTTGGTTCATTTTGGTGGGTTTTTCTTGGTCTCCATCTCTGCCCTGTTTTTCTCTCTGTTTGAGTTCTTCAGAAAAGCTTTCTCATGGTAAATCAATTTTGAATTCACTTGTTTTTTCTAAATGGAAATGATAGTTTTTTTTTATTATTGAAATAATTGTTTCTATATTGTTCACGGTTTCAGGATTCAAACTGATAAGATTTCTGAGCTCAATAATTCGATTCCAATTGAAACAGAGAATGTGACAGAAGAGAAAAGTAAGCATACTGAATCTGATGCTATTGAGTCCAAGGTTGGAGACAGTGAACCCATTGAAGAAAATGAATCCCCAAAGTTCTTTTTCAAGTTTCAGTACCAAACCCAGACGTTTGAAGAATTCAGGAAGAAATTTGAAGGAAACGAGACTTATAATGTTGGCCTAGACTCGTTTACTTGTACAAGCACGAACAAGAATGAGTTCAAATTTGAGAATGGCTTAGTTGTATAATGGAGAAGCCTGAGGATATGAGCTTTTTCGTGAAAGAACTATACGCTGATTCCAGCAATGGGTTATTGTCACATCAAAATTTCTTGGAACAGAATTTGAAAGATTTATCAGAAAATGAAGTTGATGAACCCCAACACAGCAAACAAACTGTTTGCGAAAATGTTTCAGGAAACCTGAGTTTCTTTCTGAGGAGGCCTGCACTGTTTCAGATACTGATACGGATTCCATTACTTCAAGCCCCGAAAAACCGAGTAATTTTGAACAAGATTTTGAGGCTGATTCTTCAAGGAGCATTGAAGATCAAGATATAGAGGAAGAGCTTAGAAAATTAGAGGAGTTTGATGACCAGAATAAGGATTCAAATGCTTTAGATAATTCAGACAAGTCCAATCCGGAGAATCCTTTAGCTTCAGATTGTGAGGATTCAAATAGTTTAGAAACTTTATGGGAACATCAAGAACTGATTGAACAGCTGAAAATGGAGCTGAAAAAGGTTAAAGCAACAGGCTTGCCAACAATCTTAGAGGAATCAGAATGTCCAAAGATAATGGATGACTTGAAGCCATGGAAGATTGATGAGAAATTCCAATATGCAGATAGAATGACCGAGCTTCACAAATTCTACAAGAGTTACAGAGAAAGGATGAGAAAATTTGATATCTTGAATTACCAAAAGATGTATGCAATAGGTCAGTTTTATCTTTCCATTTCTTTGCTGTCATTACAGATTTTTGTGCTTAATTTTGAACCATCTCCCTGCTTATCTTTTCTTTTTAATTATGAGCAATCTTTGTTCTTTACATAATTCATGCATTCATATTTTTTTGTATATTTTCTCTTATCATAATCAAGTGCTTAAGGCGTGTTAATTATATAAAAATTTACATATTAATATATTGATTTGTTGATAATTTTTGTCTTATTTGTATTATATGATTGCATCCCGTGTAATATTAGGTGCATAGGTTTAATGATTTACATTCTAGTTCATATTGCCTTTTTGAATTCTGTGTCACTTTTGGGGTGTGAAAGGAGAAAAAGCTTCTTCTCCAGAAACGTGTTTAAGTGTTCATAAGTGCATTTTTTTTTATTTTGAAATTAAGGTAAGTGTAATACATGTATATATTTGATGTAAAAATATTAAGTTTATGAAAAAAAACATATATTTAAAAGATTGTATCTCATATCATTACCACATCCAAATAATTTATGAAGAAAAGAAGTAATAATATAAGCATGCATGTATTTGGATTTAGCCTAGTTCCAACATCTCATTCAAGACACCAACTATGTGAAAGCTTTACCTAACTCTATGCTCCACAAAATCTTTTTCAAAGCACTTTAACAATGGTAGAAGAAAAAAGACAACTTGGAAAGCTATTTTTCATGAATTATCACTTTGAACTTTGTATATATCCGATTAACAAATTGCTTTTTCGGATTATGATTCATGATAGGTGGCTAATTACATCCGTTTTAGGATTTTTTTGGTTAAATTATAGTTTAAGTTTCTTGTAAAGTTAGCCTATCTCATGTTTGTTGACAATTATTTCATAGGGTTTCTTCACTCAAAGGATCCATTTCAATCATTTTCAAGCTACAAATCATCTTCAGCTCCAGCAATTTCATCCCTTCTCCCTCAAAAGCTCCGGCTAGGGAGGAGAAAAACTTTGGATTCCGACCCCATGTCGAAGTTCATCAACGAGCTTCACGGTGATTTGGAAATGGTGTATGTGGGGCAAATGTGCCTTTCTTGGGAAATACTTCATTGGCAATATGAGAAAGCTATTGAAATATGGGAATCCGATCCATATTGCCTGCGTCGGTACAAATACAACGAAGTCGCCAGTGAATTCCAACAGTTTCAAGTTTTGATTCAAAGGTTCATAGAGAATGAACCCTTTGAAGGTCCTAGGGTACAAAACTACATCAAGAAACGATGTGTTCTGCGAAATCTCCTTCAAGTTCCCGTAATCCGAGGTAAGCATTCTGTTGTTCTTACATGCTACACATGTCTGCATCTTTTTCGAGTTTGAACTGGTAAAATGGTGGTATACAACATCAACTAAATTCAGGATAAACTGAAGAACTGTGTATGTCTTGAGATAGTGACAATGTACCTATTTGTTGGCTTGATGAATACCTCCCAAAGTCCCAATCTATTTTCAGTTTGGTGGTTCTGATTTTTGAACCCATGCTCATGAATTTTTAATCAAGCAGCTTTAAAGTTTTGGGAAAACATTGGCTAATGCAAGGTCTGATATTGGTGTAGAGGACAGCTTGAAGGATACAAGGAAAGGTAGAAGAAAAGGAAGAGATGACGATGATGATTGTGTAATTACAGCTGATATTTTATTGGAGATGATGGAGGAGTCCATACGAATATTTTGGCGATTCATTCGGGCTGATAAAGATGCAAACCATGCGATCCGTAAGATCAGGACTGGAGCTCAAGTGGAACCTTTAGAGCCAGATGAGCTTCAACTTTTAGCAACACTTCAAACAAGTTTACAAAGGGTTAGTCTTCCAAAACCTTGGTTCAAATCATATAAAAATGGCTTCATATAGTTGTTCATATGCTCATTGAGCCGAACTCGAATAACTCGTGAATACGAACGTCTTGCTTACTGACGACCATGTTTGATGATGAAATTGCAGAAGGATAAGAAGCTTAGAGAGGCTTTGAGAAGTGGAAAGTGCATGTTAAGGAGATTGACGAAGAATGAAGGGGAGAATTCAGATCAAGTCCTTTACTTCTTCTCACAAGTGGATTTGAAATTAGTGGAAAGAGTTTTGAACATGTCTAAAGTCACCAAAGACCAACTCTTATGGTGCCATAGCAAATTAAGCAATATTAATTTTGTTAATAGGAAGATTAATGTTGAACCATCTTTTTTGCTTTTCCCCTGCTAATAATATACTGTATATTTCCATGAATCTCTAGCAATATCCTACCATTTAATTACAACTAAAAGCACAAACTAAGCGACTTCGATGGTAAAGAAATTGATGTTATTCTTTGAATTTTCGGGTTCGAGCACCAGGAATATCAGATGTATGATCGTTTAATAACAATTGATTTATGAGTTAACAGTAGAAAATAAGAAAATATTCAATGAGAAATATATTTAGACATCAAGTATCTTCTAATTATTTGAAAAGCACATTATAATAAAGATTTAGAAATAAAAGTGCATAATCTCAACCGTTTATAGAAACCCCAAAATATAACCATACGATATAGGTAGAGCTGGGTATACGGGCTACCCGCCCGTTTAGACCGCGGGTTTTGACGGTGCGGGCTTAAACGGAGCGGTTTAAAAAGCCCGCATTCATAAACGATTTTGAATTTTAAGGCCCGCGGCCCGTTAAATAAAAAAAATGCTTTAAATGCAATAAAAATAATGTTTTAACTTGCTACACCTTTAAAAATGATTCAGCAACTTGAAAAGGAAGGTAGCACCGTCAAAATAATAAATAATATTTAAATTTTATTTTAAATAGCCGAAAATGATTATAAAATAATATTTTTTTAATTTTTTTAATCATTAATATATATATATATAACGATATAATTACTTAAACTCAAATTAAAAAAAACAATATTCACTTATATCACCAAATTGAAAAACAAATAAAACAATAACCACATTATACTTTTATAAAACACGATTATTCAAGGTTATAATATGAAGACACAGAAGTGTCTGCAAACAGAAATTCAAACATAAAAATTCAACAAAGTCAAACATTATACAAATCTAACAAGAAAGTTGTCAAGTGGTCTTAATAATTGTATTTTATGGATATTTAGAGAAAGACTAAAACATAATATGAAAATATAAAATAAAATATTTACAGTATAAGAGTAAATTTGAAAGATACGGTTATATTAAAATTGATTAAATATAAGTAATTAATTTGTTAAAATATATTTATTTTGTAAAAGCCTTTAAAAGTTGAAAATTATGTTTTCAATTTTTTTTTACTTTTCTTTCTTATTTTTAATCCAAATATTACGTGTCATGTGATATATTATTAGAATATCACGTGACTTTTTATAATTAAAGAACGAAATAGATAACATACTTCATGAAAAAAATAAAGATCAAAATTAAATAAAAAAAACCTTTAAATATCAAAGTGATAATGATGTAAATTTTATAAGACTAAAATATTATATAATTTTTTTTTTATTTTTTTAAAATAAAGAATAATTTGATACATCGTAAATGAAAAAATATCAAGCAGCGATAGAATTATGACAAACGCCCTAATAAATTTAAGAACTACAATGGTTATAAGTAACATTATATTTATAGGTAATTTTTTTTTTTTTTATAAAATTCTTCAAGTTTATTTTCTCTAAAATTTTATAAATTTTAAATTAAACGAGCTATTGTGGTTTCGCGGTACCTACGGTTATACCCGTTAAACCACGAATTTAACTGTTCAAGCTAAAAACCCGCAACTTAAACGAAATCAATTTTTTATATTCAAAACTCGCACGAGCTGAGGGTTAAACGGTAACCCGCGGCCTTAACCCATATACCCACCTCTATATATAGGGCTTCCTTCCAAAAGCATCCCTATTGATATATGTCTTCTCCAACGCAAACTCTTTACTCTCCGCTTTGTCTCTATTCGGTCTTTCCGTAAAATAGAGTACAGAAGGCAAAACCCAAAGCTTGAAAACCAACAAAAATGGTTCAAAGACTCACTTATCGGACTCGCCATAGCTACGCTACCAAATCCAACCAACACCGTGTGGTTAAGACCCCTGGTAAGTCTGGAGGTTTATAGAATGGTGCCGATTTGTGTTGGCCTAATTCTAATTTATGCTTTTTCTTGTAATTTTAAAGGTGGGAAATTGGTTTATCAGACTACTAAGAAGAGAGCAAGTGGGCCAAAGTGTCCTGTTACTGGCAAAAGAATTCAGGGTGTAAGTACTTTTCTTTTCTGAATTCAAGTTAAGTTTTTTTGGTGGGGGGATTTTGATCTTATTGTTGGCTTGATCTAATTAGTATATAATCTAGATACCCTTTTGCTTCTAATGATGGAGGAAGTGGTTAATGGTTTATACTTTCTCTGGTTTATATTCATGTTGTTTGCTTCATGATTTTATGTTCCAAATTCAGCATAGAAATTTTGATACTTTTAATGTTAGTTTTAGATCATTGTTTAAAATCTAAAAAGGAGTTCGCGATGCTTATAGTATAGTATGTCAAATTTGTTGTTCAGGAGTTTTAAACCTTGAGATAAGGTTGTTTTCATGAAATCATTTAGGCTTTTGATCACATGAAATTAAGTTTGATGTGTTTTTCGGTTGCATTGTGGTTACCACGATTGCCACAATAGGTCATTCCGATAGCCGACCGCCATTTAAATCCTTGATATTTGCCTATTGCTGTAAATGTATGTTGTAAGCTTGTATGATGGAGCTCATTATAGCATTTCACTTGGAAACCGATGATGAACTACGGCACTTTAGATAACAATGTTCTCTGTATGTTAAGTTCAAATGTTAAATCTTTTTGACCAAAAAGAATTATGGGGTACTTTTTTAGAGTTATTCATTTTATGTTTACTTACTCAACTAGGGTCTTTTTGGTTGATTAGACTCGACGTTGTGAAGTTTTTGAGGTTGTTCTTATGTTTTTCTCACATGGGTTCACTGCAGATTCCTCACTTGAGACCTGCTGAATACAAGAGGTCTAGACTGCCGAGGAACCGCCGGATTGTGAATCGTGCTTATGGTGGTGTTTAGTCGGGAAGTGCTGTAAGAGAGAGGTATAAATTATAAACTCCTGCGTTGTTTATTCGCTGTTACATGATACTGGATGCTAGCTTTGGTCTTTGTTGGTTGTAATTGATGCAAATCCTAATTGTTTTCTTTCCATTTTCGAAGGATAATTCGAGCCTTCTTGGTCGAAGAGCAGAAGATTGTGAAGAAAGTTCTGAAGATTCAAAGTCCAAGGAAAAGCAAGCTTCGAAGAGCTAAGAATTTAGATGTCGAATCTTTGGTGAAGGTAATTTGTTTGTTAGTAAGGTGATGATGAAATATTGAACTTAATTTCTGCAATTTTGATTTTTAGTTTTGATAATTTTGCTGCTTGTTTCACCTGATGACAAATCAATTTGCCCAGCTATTGCCTTGATGATGCGCTTGTTTATTTTTTTTTCTTTTATAATTTTCATAGGCCATTTTGAGACATTTTAGGTGTCTGAAGTATTTTTCATTCAAAGTATTTTGCGTTTTTGAGGTTATTCTTTTAAGTGCCTACGTCATAACTGCCGTTAAAAAATTCCAATGGCATCAGTACCACCATAAGTTTATTGGGGCAATCTCATAAACGAAGAGTAACTCATAATGATGATCGACGAAGGTTTAAAATTGAATTGAACGCTATCTCAAGACTTTGTTTGCCAAAAGTAAGCAGCTCCTGCAACTGTGTAATCCCAAAGTAAATGGTTATTAAAACAATATCTTGATGTACATAGATGTTGGTAATTAGAGAAGATGATGGTGGAAACTTCCCGTGGAGATTATGAGAGCATGAGCCGAATGATTCAGATTGGCTTTTGCCCATGGCAGCATCTAGGGATGGGTATGGGACCCGAACCCGATGGGTTCGACCTGATCGGATTTTTCAAAAAAAATTCAGAGTCTGGTCGGGTCGGGTTGGGATTTTTAAGTGTAGTTCGGGTTCGGGTTTAAGGTGAAAAATACCCGACCCGAAAAAATATATAATTTTACATTATATATTTAGGAGTAATTACAATAATATCCCTCTATATATAATTTTTTTAATGAAAGCTATCAAAATCCCAATATAAAGCTATCAACTGAAAGCTAAAAGGAAAATTTTCCATGAAAACAACGGTTTGCCATTGCTAACTTCTGATCGAGTGAAGGCAGTGTAGCAGATCCAGCAACATTTTTAGCCATTTGTAGAACAGAAAACAATGGGTTGGTGGGTTGCTGGAAGGGATGGGGGTGATTGTTCGGCAGCGACGGTGAACTAGCGATGGCTGGTAATGGGTTTTGGAATCAATGATTTGAGAATTTTGAGGGCTTTTTTTTTATTTTAGATAAATTTTATATTTATTATTATATATATATAATTTTAAGTTTTTTAAATAATTTAAAAAATATATAAACGCGATACGTGTTAGATAATAATTTTTTTAAAGATTGTTATAGACATTTAAAAAGAGTAATATAGGAAATATTATACTTATTTTGAGCGAAAAATACTTTAGACACTGAAGTGAATAAAGAGTATAGTTTAGGCACTTAATAGAATGAATGGGCAATTATTTAGAGAAATGTTATAATAATTAATAAAATTGTTAGTAATTGGGATGATTTTGATAAAGTTGTCGACAATATAGGAGATTTTGCTTTCGTTTTGTCGTTGTAATTTTGAGATCAAAATATAAAAGTATAAAGATTAAATTAAGAATTTCTAGAAATTATTCTTTAAGTGAAATTACGAGTTTAAGAAGATTAACGATATTAGCGTTTAGACTATAATTATATTTTATAACTTTGAAAGATTCTTAAAATTATATGGACTTCAATTTTTTTTAAAGCTTAAAATGATTATCAATTTAGTTTAGTATAAAATATTATATTTCTTTGATTTTAATTTGTCGTTGATACTTTTGAAGTCCATGGTAGCTGCAACAAGTTTGGTTTGATTGTAATTTTTGTTTGTACCATAAGATCAAATTGAAGGAAAAATAGTTTATAGGGATCAAAAATTAATTTTCTAGAAATTTGTAGTAAAATCACACATATTAAATATTTTTAAATAATAATATTTTTGTACAGAAAAATCAAATGACGAGTTAAAAATAATGAAATCATATTTAAAATTACATAAAAAATTTAATATTTAAAACTAAATATTAAAATAATATTTTTTTGAGACGAAAATAAAGATTAATCGTCTTTAGGCTTTGTCATAGTAAATATCATATGAAGTTATGTGGATTTTTTTTATAAAAAATTCTCATTTTTAATTTTTTTATTTAGTCCATGTACTTTTATTATTCTATATTTTAATCTTAAAATTATAAAAAAATATTAAAGCAAAATCGTCAATAATTATCATCAATTTTATAAAAATCATCATCATCTGTCGACGATTTCACTAAAATCATTCTCATTTTACCAACGACTTTTTCGATCATTATAAAATCTATTTCGAATCCTTCAATAAATACTAAACAATATTATTATTATTATTTTGGATAAATCATTTCTATTACCCAAAGAAAGCAGTAGACTGTTACAATTTACAGAAAAACGCAACAGCTAATCAAAGACAAAACAACAACCGATTAAAGCATACCCCAATTACTGTAGAGCCAAGCATTTACAGCATCCACCTTGCTAATATTTCTTCCTCTAAGGCGTATCTGAACCACTTCAGTAACCTCCCTTTACCTCGAAAGAGCCTAAAGTTCCTTTCTTCCCACACACTATACACAAAGCAGCTCCAAGCAAGTTTAAGAATCAAAACAATGAGAGACTTCCCCTTTAGATGCGACAAAGCCCAATCAAGTTCTTGTCCCCAGCTTCCAACATTCCGAGAAAGACTACAAAGAGACCGAATACTCCCCCATAGGTGCTTTGCATATACACAACCAAGAAATAAATGGTTCCTCTTCTCCATCTCCCTACCACAGATGACGCACAGCCCGCTATCCACCTGGATTCCCATCCTCAACAACCTCTCACGCGTAGGGAGTCTCTCAAGAATAGCCATCCAAACAATAATACCATGTTTAGGAATGTGCCCCCCAAACCAAACAAGCTTATGCCAAGGAACCGTTGGCTTCTTCACCCTAAGTTCGGCATAACCAACCTTTGGCTGCTTCACCCTAAGTTCATTCCATAGGGTGTATTCGGTTCGGTTCGGTTTTTTACTAAAAATTGAACCGAACCGAAATAAACGTTTTTCAATATTTAAACCGAAACCGAATAGTTAAAAAACCGAAAAAACCGAAACCGGTTTTTTTGGTTCAGTTTTTTTAACGGTTTGAGCTTTAAACGGTTCAGTTTATCGGTTTTTCAATGAAAAAATCACTTGAAACTATAATTTTTTTATAAAAATTGCCTATTCGATTCAATATGGAACAAATGGGTTCCATATGGAAAACCCGAACCGAACCGAATCAAAAAAATAAAGCCTTTAAACTGAACCGAAAACCGAACCGTTTAAAGCCAAACCAAACCGAATCGTTTAATCGATTCGTGTCGGTTTTTCGATTTTCTCGATTTCGTTGCTCACCCCTAATTCCAAGTACAACAAGCCTTGAAATTACCCCCACCATCACTAGTCAATCCACCAAACAGTTGAAGGGTCTCTGGCCTTAATTTCAATATCTTCCTTAAGGATCAGCTGACATTAATAGGAACATCAACATGCTAAAACTTCCATCTTTCAATACATATGCTTTTATCCATGCCACCCATAAAGTGCCTTCACTAGCAAAAATACTCTTAATCAATCGAAATGCACATGCTTTATTCCGACCAGCAACATCCTTTACACCAGGTCCCCCTCGAAACGCAGAAAACAAATCTGCCTTCAACTAACTCTAGCTACCCTCGCAACAACATCAGCTCCCTTCCAGAAAAAACGAGAACATAACTGCTCAATTCGCTTTACAACACCCCGAGGAATTATTAGCTACCTACACCAAGAACTGGAAATGCTAAAAAAGAAAGCTTTTATAAGCTTAAGTCTGCCAGCAAAACTGAGATGCTTATTAGTCCAACAACTCAATTTTGCTCTAATTTTATCGACAAGTCCAATGCAATTTTTCTCAGTGAGCTTTCTAGTAACTAAAGGTACTCCAAGGTACCTCACAGGCAATCTCCCCAATTGGAAGCCATAGCTTTCCTAATAGCCTCACATTAGACCAAACTGACCCCAGCTATGAAAAACTCGCATTTGGCAGCATATAACTTTAATCCAGACATAGCATAGAATTACTGCAAAATGGATTGTACCCCTACAATAGACTCAATATTCCCCTTACAAAAGATAAGTAAATCATCTACAAAGCAGAGATGGGTAAGCCCAATCTTTCTGCACTTGGGATGATAGCTAAAAATCCCCCTTGAAGCAGCCAAGTTAAGCATACAGTACAGAGCATTCATAGCTAGAACAAAGATGTAAGGGGAGAGCGGATCCCCCTGTCTGATGCCGGCTCACCCTTAAAATAATCCACAAGACTCCCATTAAACACAACCGAAAATAGGAATGGTAGAAGGATTCGAACCCGACAGGAAAACCCGACTAAGTTCGGATCGGGTCAGGTTTGAATAATATTGGGTCGGGTATCAGAGCAAAATTCAGAGATTTTTTCGGGTTCGGGGCAAGGTATCCCCGCCCTGATTATATATATATATATAATATTTTATATTTTTTATATTAATTATATATATAATATTTTATATTTTTTATATTAATTATATAATACAAACCCTAAATATTTAAACCCTAAACCCTAGCTTTTTTAATTATTAAAGTAAAATTTGATTAATTTATTGATAAATTTCTCAATGTAGGAACTACCAAAGAAAGTGACAAAAGTGACACGACGATTTTGGATAACTTTATTTGATTTAATATTATGTATACATCTTCGTTGTAAGATTTGAATATTAGAAAAGTTTGTATTTAATTATGTATGTATTTTATTTTGGAATTTAGACAATTATTTAGAATTGAGTTTGAATTTGTTACTGTAGTTTGAATTGTAAATAATGTAGACTAATTTTCAATTTTTTATGATCATTTTTTCTATTTTTATGAAAACTATCGGTTTTTCTCGGGATCGGGTCGGATTCGGGTAAAATATTTCGGGTCGGGTTCGGGACGGGACAGAAAAAAAATTCCCGATAGGACCCCTGATAAAAAACCCGACGGGGAACGGGGCGGGGACGGGGAGCAAAACCCGCCCGAATCCGTCCCGTTGCCATTCCTAAAAATCGAGGGGTAGATAGGCAAGCCCAAATCTAACAAATGAATCTGCTAGAATCCCCAGTGCAAGTAGGATACTCCTCACAAACTCCCAAGATAAGGAGTCAAAAGTCTTTTGGAGGTCAATCTTCAAAGCACATCGTAGAGAAATATTCTTCCTCGCACATCCTCGCTGAGCAAGCAACGTGTTATCCACAATGCTACATCCCTTCACAAACGCAGTTTGATGAGCGAAATCATCCCAGCAAAGACAGGAGATAATCGATTCACCAAGATTTTCGTTATTGTCTTGTACACCACCGAGCAACAAGATATGGTTCAAAATTCCTTAATCACAGCAGGGTTAGAAACTTTGGGAACGAGGACCACTGCAGTAGAATTGAATGCAGGAAGCAAAGATGGTGTAGCAAAAAAAAAAAAAATTTTGATTGCAGCAAAAAAATCAGCCCTAACAATAGGCCAAGCAATCTTGAAGAAGTAGGAAGTGTATCTGTCTGGGCCAGGGGCTTTTTCCTTCCCTTGGCTCCAGATTGTATCCTTAGTCTCCACATCCGTAATGTCCCTACTCAAAGCTGCCGAGGCACCCTGAGGCAAATCATACCGAAGCAACTATTTATGCAAACTAGGATCAGACCCTTTCACCTTGTTATCAACCATTCCCAACTGCTTTAGAAAAAAAGCAACTACTTCGGCAGACATACCCTCACACAGTCCTTAAGCACTCTGATAGTATTACTTTTTTTCTAACTAGAAACCACCGAGTGGAAAAAAAAAAACTTTGATCAGCATCTTGAATCCAATTCACCCTGGCTTTCTGCTTATAAAAGTCTCTCGGCCTCCTCCAAAGCACACAACTCATTCTGGATTTTAAACTCATCCTCAATAAGAACTCCAGCCCTACCAGAGGTAAGATTCATAATCTGAATTTGCTCTAGTTCATCCCTTTTCATTTTAACCTTCCCAGAGATGTCACTATATTGAGCATGATTAAAAGCTTTCAGACTGCTTTTCAACTGCTTCAATTTCTAAAAACAAGACAGAAAGAGGATTCCCCAAAACAGGTTGCTGCCATGACTCTTTAACAACATCTAAAAAATCTGGATGGAGGGCCCAGAAGTTAAAAAACTTAAAGGGGCCTATTCACAGACGCCGCCTTAGACAACCAGACCAAAGCAGGACAGTGATCAGTCACCTGGAGCCTGAATCTCTACAAATGAATCTGGAAAAGCAGTAAACCAGGTAGGATTAATAAGTACACGATCCAACTCCGCACCAAAAAAGTCTCCTTCTGCTTATTGGACCAAGTAAAGAGCGGCCCAAAACAAGGTTGATCAACGAGACTACAATCCTCAACACAACTCTGAAAATCCCTGATATCAATATTTGAGGAAGCTCCAACTGCATCAGAACTCTCATCAGAGTTTAAGATCAAATTATAATCACCACCAACAATCCAAGGCATTTGACCCACAATACCCTCTAAATGCCTAAAATGACCCCAAAGCCGCCTCCTGGCAACTCCCTCATTTGAACCATAAACAACAGTATCTCATTCATTTAGTCCATAGTATCAATTGCCTTGAAAAATAATCAAGGTCTTATATAACAATTCAGCTCAGTTGTAAAGGATATATGTATTCTATTTTAAATTAGAAATAACTAATTTTAAATTAGTTTCATATAATGTTATTTGAAATTCCAGAAACTTTATAAGATTTATAACGTAGCATTTGTTTGGCTACAAGCTAAAAGCAAATCCCCTTGATCGAATAGTCCTCCAATAGCTCTCGTCATGGGCTTCATTCAAGGTCTTCCCCGTGCCTTGCAGATCTCCTGGTAAGCTTATTGAGAAACAATCGAAATAATGTTGTTGCCCTTCAAAATCCATACTCCTGGAGTTGTTCGTAACTTCACCGGCGACCATCTTCATCCCCTGTGGCCTCATTACCGTAGATGAAGCATCGACCGTCGAAAACATGAAGTTGTTGTGAAGGTCTACATTGGAAACAGGCAACGGAGATGGTCTCCATTGTTCATTGTTGTTGCAAGAAATGTTGTCCCAATTGAACTGATTGCAAGGACCACCATTTTACGAGCAAAAGCCCTTTGAGCCATGGAATTGATCTTTCTAAATATCCTACAAATAGCCCAGTAATCCTGTAATGAAAACAAGGCAAAATTTAGAAAAAGACCAAACATTAGACAATCGATTCAATGATCATCGTTTACATTTGCAGAAAGGGTTTTGTATGAGAGTGAAGGCAGTCGAAACTCATGCATCATCCAATCTGTCTTAATCCCTCTGGCGGCTCTTCCTCGATAGAACACAAGGGATTTCTTTAAACCAATACATTTGGTTTCATCGGAAGTGTAAATAGGCCTATCGGTTCCGGTTGCCTTCCAGAATCCGGCTCTCGTTACTCGATTAGGCCTTGCACTGTTTCGGTATTTACGGTCTCTAGGACAGTAGAAATACCAATCTTTCTCGCCGGATGCTGCTAGCCCTAAGAAAACGGAGCAAAGAGTATACAAATTGAGTATTACATAAGCATATGTGGTCCAAGAAATGACGAAAACTCACTTGGGAGATCCCAGGGTTCATATTTGTATATGTCTAGTTGCTTGATGAGCTCAATGGGTAAAGATTTCTGCTGTATATTGTTCTTGAGGTAAAATGCGACGAGCTCTTCATCCGTGGGATGAAATCGAAAACCAGGCAACATCTATCAACATCCATGTTATAAGGACCCAACAAAGTTGATGAAGTTGGTATA